CTTCACCCATTAATATCATCACTGTGGGGGTCACACATTTTGGGAGGACATAAACTTCCATACCATAGCAGAGGTTCTTTAGACTTTCACTAAAATTCTCCTCATTAATAACTCAGCTCATCCATCACATGGCCCCAATGGTACATGCTTTAGCTTTTGCTACTAGTGCAATTCCAAGTACTAACATCAATTTAATTTGCTTTTGCTGTATAAATTACTCCCAAGTGTCGTAGAGCAATATAATAATTTATTATGCATCACTTACAATAATCACCAATTTGGATCAAGCTCAGTAGAACCCATTATGTGTGACCGCAACTGAAAGAGTATAAGGTTGAGGGCTAGAATTCTTTGCAGATGCATTCACTCCAATCTGTCAGTTGATGTGTGTTAGATGAGGCTGAAGTGCCTTTCTATGTGGGCAATTTTGAGATTCCTCACAGCATGGTGGCCCAGCTCTAAGGGTGAGAGAGACAGACAGGCAGACAGAACCACGTTCTATCACATTTTATGATCTGGTATTGGAAGTTAAGAAGTCATTTCACAGTATTTTTTTTCTTTTTAAAATTTTTATTTTAGGTATACAAGCTTCATGCATTTCATATACAAGAGTTTAGGAACATAGTGGTTCTTCCCACCCTACCCTCCCTCCCACCCACACTCCCGCCCTTCTTCCTCCTCCCTCTCCTAGTCCCATTTTTATTTTTTACTAAGATCTCTTTTCAGTTAATGTTGTACTCATAAGATTAACCCTACGCTAAGTAAAGCATATAACAAATAGTATAAGAAAAAAAAAAAAAAAAACTGTTCCTCAACAGTGGAGCAAAGGCTATTCAAGTACATTGCATCTCAAAGTATCAATTTCACTTCTATAAATTATCTTTTAGGTACTCCACGACCACAGATCAGAGAAAACATATGGTATTTGTCTTTTTTAGGACTGACTCATTTCACTAAATATAATGGTTTCCAGTTTCACCCATTTTGTTGCAAACAAAAGGACTACATTTTTAACTGCTGTGTAGTATTCCATACTGTGTGTGTGTGTGTGTATATATATATATATATATATATATATAAATATATAATTTCTTTATCCAGTCTTTAGTTGACAGATGTCTTGGTTGATTCCATATCTTAGCTATTGTGAATTAAGCTGCCATAAACATGGAGTACATATCAAATTTTCCATATGCTGATTTCATTTCCTTTGGGTAAATTTCCAGTGTGGGATGGCCTGGTCATATGGCAGGTCTATATTCAGATTTCTCAGGTATCTCCATACTGTCTTCCACAGTGGCTGTACCAGTTTACATTCCCACCAACAGTGGATTAGGATATCTTATTCCCCATATCCTCTCCAGTGTTGGTTGTTTTTTGATTTCTGTATGAAATCTATTGTAACCTGGGTGAGGTGAAATCTCATCGTGGTTTTGATTTGCCTTTCCATGATGGCTAGTGATCCTGAGCATTTTCTCAAGTGTCTGTTGGCCGTTTGGATTTCTTCTAAGGATTTTAACAGGCACTTTTCAGCAGCATTTCAATCATGCGCATTTGAAAGAGCACGCTGAGGTCCAGAGCAGAAGAAATAAACTTCATCCTCTGAAGGAGACTGCAAAAGATCTAGAAGAGCATGTGGGACTGGATGTATATGCAACTGGGGCCATCTTTGAAAATGAAGTCTGTCACCCCTGATTTCACTCTGTGTGGCTTTTGTCTATGAGTAAGACAGTGAAAGTGTGCAGCAAAACAGTGCACTCAAGCCTAGGAACACGGCATTGAACCACTTTTGCTAATAATCTATTTAGCTCTCTGCATCACACAGTTCTGCAGCTCTTTGCATCCCCTAAAATAGTTCATTACAACACTGGAAACTCTAAGGTGTGTGTGTGTGTGTGTATGTATGTATATATGTGTGTGTATATATGTATGTATGTACATATGTATGTTAGGGATCCTTTCTCGCATTTTTCTGTCTTATCTCTATTCTCTTGCCCCGAGCAAGAGAACAGAATGTCAGGGATCCTAGAAATGATCATTAGAGGAATGAATTGGGTTCTATTTTATATTCAGACCAAAGTCTAATTCATATAGAAGCTGATAGTAAATCAACATGAAAAGTGGACCTGGGACATCTCTCTCTGTGAAAGAGTGCTGACTCATTTCCTCAACACATTAGTGAATGTATTACAGTGAATGTGTTTATGGTGACAGAGGAGATAAGACTCTGTGCTAATGTGCCTATTTGGACTCTGGTTTCCCTGATTCATCATCAGTTCTTGGCTGAAAACAGCACACACACACACACACACACACATGATGTTATGAGTAAATGCAGAATAGTTTTATTTTACTTCTAGATCTTAAATTATCACAATGAGACTATAACTGTATAACTTATATAATTGGGACAGGGAAGTATTTTTAAAAAAGAGACAATATAATTATACTATATCTACCATCCTAATAAGAGTAAAATCAACTTGAAAGATATATTCTATTAAGCTAATATTATATGAAATCCTATTTTTAATATATCTACTCATACTGCACCAAATGTGCATAAACCATGAAGTTTAATAGTATATCTATATGAAGATTTTTAAGGAAGCTTTCTAAATATCATTAAACTATTATTAAGTGACTGAAAAAGACATATTTGATCTAATTCAAAGAGTAACTATTGAGCAAACTAAATTATTGCCATAGTGAAGAATTCAAATATTCATCTTCCTTCATAAATAAAACATGAAATATTTTAAAAGCTATCATTCATTGTTAATCATGATAAGTGCAGTGTTGAGATGCACAACTCAGTACTCAGTACATGTCAGTTCCACAAGAAATTTTCTAAAATTTTGGAAGAATAATTAAAAAAAAACCAAAAATATGGAGTGAGCACTAAATATTATGAGTTATAAACATTATAATTATTAACTGAAAAGGGCAAGACCACTAGAGAGTAATGATTTGAAAAGGAGTGACTGTTAAACCAGGCCTAGGAGTATAGGAGGACAGAATTTTCACAGGAGGATGGGAAGAGAAAACATATTTTTGGAAAAATGAGGGAAGAAAACAGGCACAACCACAGAGATGACGACACTTGACATGGAGAAGACCCTTGGAGCAATACAGGAGCATTCTGTTGGATGGTGAACTATGGAAACCAGGGACTTCTGGGTTCTGGGGATCATCCTGTCTACACACTCCTACTGGATTCTTCGCTGTGCAATGACGACAACTATACTGTTCCATTGTAATGGTGAAAATCAAACTACACAATGCCAAAGTCAGTGTTTATAGATATTAACCTCAAACCTCTGGATGTGCATTTGATGCAGCAGTTCAGATGCATTCTGGGATGCCTGAATCCCTTGTTGGCGTGCCTGGTTTCAAGTCCCAGCTCCGCTTCTGACTCCAGTTACCTCACAGTGCACACCCTGGAAGGCAGTGGACATGACTCAAGTAATGGGGTCCCTTCCACTCACTTGGGAGACTTGTACTGAGTTCAGCTTCCCTAACTTTAACCTGTCCCATCTGTGGTTGTAGCAAGAATTTAAGGAGTGAATTTTGCATGGAATATATCTTTATTGTATCTGCAATTCTAATAAACTTTTTTTTAAATGCAAAAATGAATACACCATAAGCCTTCTTATAAAAGGCTCTTAAATACTAATAACAGTTCTCTTTTTCTACTCAGCATTATTCCAACATAGTATGAATAATTTAGCTGCAGTAGTGACATGTGTCTTTCAGTCTATGGCAAACAGCAGCTGGTTACTGCAAATGCTGTGTTGATCCCACTTTATCTCCTGGAAGGGACCCAACTTGATGCCTGAAAAAAAAATAGACAGGTTGGCTCTCCTTCAGGGGTTTCTTGACACACTGGGTGGTATTCTTTTAAACACATGTTGCCTAATGAAACAAACATCTGCCCCGAATTCTATATGAGTGATAGCAAGAGGGTGGTACAAAGCTATGGGGTTAGGAGGAAGACTATTCTGGTTTAAAATATTGGCTTCATTGCGTATAGAATGTGTGCTTCGAGCAAGTCACTGAAGGGCTCTGGGCCCCGGTCCCCAAAGGAAGGAACAAAATCCACCTTTTGAACTTCACAGGTTTATTCACCCATAGGGTGTATGTATGCAAGTGTGTGTGTAATATATGAAGACCAAATAGCTCAAACAAGCTAACACATTGCAAAGCACTGTTCCAAATTTAATTATACTCATAGTCCAATGAATAAATGAGAACTGAGTTTCCTTCTCATCAGCTTTCTAGTAGTGCATGCTATTCTATCACACCTTAAGGTACATTACTTTAAAATGTGATTTACATATTCACTTCCTATAATCCCTTGAGCTAACTTGGATATCAATTGTCAGGGTGTTTTTCTTAAAACTGAATAAGAATTCATGATTAAGACCCAATAACAGGGAGATTGAAACATACATATTTAAATTTGCAATAAATCTCAAGTAAATTTTCTTGAATCTATTTTACTCTGCACAAGTCTGCTTTATATAAACAAGAACACAGAATTAAATGAGATTTTCAAAAATATGCACAAATTGTTCCTATTCGGCTTCACTGCTTTTTGAACATTACTCTAGTTTGTTATATTGATAGAGAAATTTTAGATTTATAAAGAAATTTGGTTTCTGTCTTTTTAAATATATTTCTCTGATAGCTTTCTTCCTTAGCTTTCCCATAAACAGAAAACCTTTTCTCGTTGGGTCTTAATACCATGATGTTGTTTATTTACCCACCTATAATTAGGCTGTGTATCTTTGTTCAGAACAGTCAGGACCAGTAATTGTCCTAATAACGAACTGTCCCCAAAACAGTTTATTAAAAAAATACTATTTTATTGCAGAACTCTTTGTCGTAACTAACAGCTTAAAGCTACTGGGGAGGTATATTGGCCCACTATATATAAAGCAAACACCCATGACACCTTCGTGCCTTACCAATGTTTTTCTGATTGTATTCCTTGACAGTAGAAGGACCATGTTACAGTTTTTAAAATACATTCTAAGCGTTTCTGTGGATCACAGCTGTTTATGACACTATCTCCTCTTTGCTATGTCAGAACATAGCAGAACAAATACATCTTTAGCAGGTAAGCATTTTCATTTTTTACTGTCACTTACCAAGCACAAATAGCTACAACACAGTGAATCTGCCATCTATAATAGGGTACAGAAAAAGTAGCTGAAAATCAAAACCTGGAGAATGAATTAACATAGTGCCATGAAAATAAAATACAGATTTTTGGATTTTCAAATAGCTGAGTTTGAAATCCCATGGAAACCCATTAATGAGTGTGCTTATGTTTTTGTAAATATAGCAGATGGCTGGGAACATGCAGTGTCAGTTAAATTTTAAAAACATTTGGAAATAGTAGATGACTGATGTTTCTCCTAATAATTGTATATCTTTTTTCCATCTCTCCAGAATCCATTGAGTCACTCCATTTTGGCTTTGTATGTCCTCAACTAGCTTACCTGTTTTCCTCTGAAGATACTATGATAACTTAATTTTTAAATGTAGTCCAGTGACTTATAGGCCAACGGACAATTGGAGTGGTCAAGTAGGCCTGGGATATTTTAGGAAAAAAAATTAAAAAATAAAAAAGTAACTGTCTGCCAGTGAGGGATGACAGAGTAAACTGACTGAATATTAGATCTGAAGAAATGCTTCCAGCTTAAAGGAATTGATAGGTGTGAATATGCACTCAGTTCTCAGGCTAAAGTATCTGCAACACTTTAGGTTAAGTCCAAGAAGCGTTGTTCAAAATCTTGGAAGAGATCTACCTATGACCGCAATGCTTGGAACAAGCGAATCACAGAATAAAATTTTGAGCAACTAGCTAGAGATGACCAGAATCACCATGCTAGATGATAGAATCACCATGACTCATCTGTGGCTACCAAAGCCAAATCAATTAAGAATAAGCTTAGTAATGACTACAGAAATATATTCAATACTAAGGTACTTCTATTATACTTCACTAAATTATGATATCCCTTTGGAAAGTTTAGCTGTTCCTTGTCTGAAATTCGACAGGATAAGCACCAAATGAGTGTGTAGTAGTTACCCATGGGCTGTAGGTTCCACATAGAGATGCTGACACAGATCTGACTGTTGCAGCTGTTTGTGGAGTAAAACAACAGGGGAAGCACATACGCTCTCTTTCTCTCACTCACTCTGTCACTCTGTTTTGACTGAACAATTAAATAAGTAAATAGGAAGAATTAAATTATTACAAGTGCTTGTTATGTTTTTCATCTTTATTACTTTGTATCTATTATTGTAAAAAATGCTAATCAGAATTTTTTGGATTAGTGAGTTAATAAAATATTTCAATATTAAGCTATCTATAACACTTTTTATTTGATGGCATATACTACAACAATTGCAAACTCCTCTTTTTTTTTAAGATTTATTTATTTATTTTGAATGTCAGAGTTACAGAAAGGGAAGCAGAGACAGAGATAGAGATCTTCCTTTTGCTAGTTTCCTACCCAGATGGCCACAATAGCCAGTGCTGGGTCAGGCCAAAGCCAGGAGCAAAGAGCTTTGCCTAGTTCTCCCATATGGGTGGCAGGAGCCCCGACACTAGAACTATCTTCTGCTGTTTGCTCCAGGGCACTTGCAGGGAACTAGATTAGAAGTGGTGGAGCTGGCACATTCAGAAATCTACCAACAACAGATGCTGGCGAGGATGTGGGGAAAAAGGGACACTAACCCACTGTTGGTGGGGATGCAAACTGGTCAAGCCACTATGGAAGTCAGTCTGGAGATTCCTCAGAAACCTGAAGATAACCCTACAGTTCGACCCAGCCATCCCACTCCTTGGAATTTACCCAAAGGAATTTAAATTGGCAAACAAAAAAGCGGTCTGCAGCCTAATGTTTATTGCAGCTCAATTCACAATAGCTAAGACCTGGAACCAACCTAAATGCCCATCAACGGTAGACTGGATAAAGAAATTATGGGATATGTACTCTTTAGAATACTACACCGCCTAAAGAAACAACGAAATCCAGTCATTTGCAACAAAATGGAGGAATCTGGAACACATCATGCTGAGTGAAATAAGCCAGTCCCAAAGGGACAAATACCATATGTTCTCCCTGATCAGTGACAACTGACTGAACACCAAAAAGGAAACCTGTTGAAGTGAAACGGACACTATGGGAAACGGTGACTTGATCAGCATAGCCCTGACTGTTAATGAACAACTTAATATATTATCCCTCTTAGTAGTTTTTTTGTCTGTTCTACTTAATATGACTGGTTTAATTCTGTAATTAATACACAGTTATTCTTAAGTGTTGCAAATTAACTGAAATGTGATCCCTGTTAAACATAAGAGTGGGAATAAGAGAGGGAAGAGATGTACAATTTGGGACATGCTCAAGCTGACTTGCCCCAAATGGTAGAGTTAAAAACATACCAGGGGATTCCAATTCAATCCCATCAAGGTGGCATGTACCAATGCCATCTCACTATTCCAAGTGATCAATTTCAGTTCACAATTGATCATAATGAAAGGACTAAGAGTCAAAGGGAGCACATAAACAAGTCTAGTACCTGCTAACACTAACCGATGGAATAAATAAAGGGAAGAGTGATCCAACATGGGAAGTGAGATACTCAGCAGACTCATAGAATGGCAGATGTCCTAAATAGCACTCTGGCCTCAGAATCAGCCCTAAAGGCATTCCGATCTGGCTGAAAAGCCCATGAGAGTATTTCAGGCATGGAAAGCCAAGACACTCTGGCAAAAGATCTCTGCGAGTGAGATCCCAGTGGAAAGAACAGGTCTTCAAAGAAGGAGGTGCCTTTCTCTGAAGGGAGGAGAGAACCTCCACTTTGACTATGACCTTGTCTAAACAAGATAAGAATCGGAGAACTCAGAGGGCTTCCATAGCCTTGGAAACTCATGACCGGAGCATAGGGAGACTACTGATGCCATAGACAGGAGTGTCAATTGGTAAAGTCAACAACAGGAGTCACTGTGCACTTACTCCTCATGTAGGATCTCTGTCCTTAATGTGCTGTGTATTGAGATTTAATGCTATAACGAGTACTCAAACAGTATATTTCACTTTGTGTTTTTATGGGGGTGCAAACTGTTGAAATCTTTACTTAATGTATACTAAACTGATCCTCTGTAAAAAAAAAAAAAAAAGAAAAGAAATTATCAACTCCCAACTTGACTCTCACTGGGATTAAACATGATAATAGGTCTGATCTGATTTCATCATCATTTAAAAAAAAAATCATCTATTATTTTTCACTTTATGTTTCTGTGTGAGAGCAAACTGTTGAAATCCTTACTTAATGTATACTAAGCTGATCTTCTGTATATAAAGAGAATAGAAAATGAATCTTGATGTGAATGGAAGGGGAGAGGGAGTGGGAAAGGGGAGGGTAGTGGGTGGGAGGGACGGTATGTGGGGGAAGCCATTGTAATCCATAAATCGTACTTTGGAAATTTATATTCATTAAATAAAAGTTAAAAAAAAAAGAAAATTAAAACCACACACACACAAAAAAAAGAAGTGGTGGAGCTGGGACACGACCAGTACCCATAGGACATGCTGGTGTTGCAGGCGGCAGCATTAAATACTATGCCACAGTGTTGGCCCCAATTTTCCTCTTTTGGATTGTAACAGAATAAACTCATATCCGGTTAAAAATTAAAGAAATTTAAATATTAAAATTAATACCCAATGCTACTTATATACTTTTATTTTCTTCCCTACACCATGACTATCCATTTTATCAGTACACTATCTGAGGTAGAAAGACTCTAATTAATGGTCTTACATAGTGTTTCCCAATTAGCATAATACTTCAAAACCAGAGATATATAAAATATGTAGAGCAACTTTGTTTATAACAATCATTAAAAGGCCTTGAATAATTTAGAAGCAGGTATCAAATGAAATACAGGAAACATTCCAGCATAACAAGCATTTGTCTCTCCTAAATTTCAACAGTGGAATATCAGAAATGACATTTAACAGATACAGACTGAAATTCCAAAACGAAGACTAAAATAATGTTAACTTTGGGACTGACCTGTCAAATTTAGTCAATTTAGCACTCTCCAAAATCTTAACAGCAAAACAACATTTAGCTGATATTTGAGAAACAGGTTGATCCTGTGTGCTTAGCATACATCTGTTCTCCCTGATGAAACTCTGGTGTGTGAATGTGTAGGTACATCTTCTTTTGTATGTTTGTGTGTACATCAGAGGGAGAAGAAGAAAAAGATCAGGTCATAGAGACTGAGAAGGCTAAAAACATCTTTTGGAAGCAGGCATTATGTCTACAGGTGGAGATGCCCACATTGCACATCAGAGTACCTGGATTTAATTCCCTGTTCCAGTCCTAAACTCCACCTCCCTGTGAATGTGGATCCTGGAGTGCGGACATGATGGTTCAAGTAATTGAATTCTTGTCATCATGTGGGAAATCTGGATTGGGTGCTTGGTTTATAGCTTCAACTTTAGCTTCCTTGGTGAGTGAACTAATGGATGGAAGCTCTCTATGTGTGTATGTCTGTCTGTCTTTCTCTCTCTCTTTCTCTCCATCCCCCAAAATAAATACCTTTAAATATTTCAGATTTTTAAAAGAATGTCTTTATTTCCTACCTCTATTATGCCCAATCTGTCAAGAAAGATATATAGCAAAAAAAAACAAAAACAAAAAACAACAACAACAACAAAAAAACACAGACACCTCTCATGCTGAGAATATTACTATGCCAATATAAGTTGGATGTTTTTCATAGACAATACTAATTATCAAAAATATCTTCTTCTCCTTTCTGAGTGAAGAGATTATACTTCCTTGACTCTTAATCATATATATTCCTGAACAATGAAAGGTATACATGTCTAACAAAACGAAATATCAAAAAGATGGAATAATCTGTCTTCTCTTTCATCCTTTGCTGAGGTGCTTCATTAAGGACTGGAGCCGCAAGATGAACCAAGTCTGAACCACTAATCACCATTCAGTGGTCAACTACCAGGAGAGTTAGGTAGCACCTGAGCATACCTTTAAGTCAAAACAAAATGAATGTATTGTGTAAGTTACTTCTCTTGGAAGTTGCTCATCACTCCGCCACATATATGCCATTCTAACCAACATTGTCATGTTCTGTAAATCTTACTAAAGCTTACAGAATGTAACTCATATTTCCTGGATCATAGTTAGTAAATGGCAGAACCAGGAATTCAACTCAAATCTCACTGCAAGGTTATAGGATTCCTACTACATAACAATGACCTGTTACTATATATTCTTACTCTGTCATTCTTATGCCCCACCATGGAACTCTTATGCCCTCTAACACACTGACAGTCAACGTAGGTGTGACCTTAAGCAGTGATTTCCTATCTAGTCAACTGAATAATTCTTTCTCTCAGGAGGCTGTATGGAACTTCTTGCCAAAAGAATTTCCTAAAATATTCTTTGGTTACTCTGTTAAAACCCATTTTTAAAGAGAGTCATGGAGTTTTCAAGTTTAGAAATAGCGTATTATTATCTACTTTGACCTTATTTTAAAGAATAGAATATTAAAGTCTACATATTCTGTGACTTCACTATGCTACCATAATTATAATCAGTCAAACCAGACTATAATATAGTGCATCTAGAATAATGGAAATACACAAATGTTTTTAAGCCATCTAGAGCTTGAGTTGTGGAGTCAGAATATCACAATTGAATCTGAGTTCTGTTGGCTTCTGGCAGTATAAATTGGCGATTCATTTAAACTCTCAGCTTCTACTTTTGTCATTTGTAAACTGGAAATAATAACTTTGTCTATATTAAAAGGTTAGTAAGAAGATTAAATAAGTTAATGTAGGTAAAATAAACATGGTCTGAGAGGTGGGATAAGTAGTGTAAGCTCCCTCTCAGAACGTCTGCATACCATATCAGAGTGCCTAGGATTGAGTTCCCCTTCACTTTTAATCCAGATTCTTGCCAATGCACACACTGAGGCAGCAGATGATAGTTTAAGTACCTCAGTCCCTGCCACCCACAGGGGAGATCCTAACAGAGTTCCTGGTTTCTGGTTTCAGCCTTGCTCAACCTCAACTGTTGGTTCATTTAGAGAAATGATCAGCAGATGGAAGATGTCTGTGTGTGTGTGTGTGTGTGTGTGTGTGAGTGTGTTTGTATGTGATGTTACTCTGCCTTTTAAATAAAAATTTTAAAACTTAACTAATACAGTGTCAGAAATGTATGAAATTTTATGTAACGCAAGCAAATGTCATTATTTCCCCCAAAATTTGTGTCTTTCCACTAGCTCAGTATTCCCTTTTTATTTGGAATATGCTATTTGAATTCATACAACTGTCTTTTGCCTTTGCTACTTCCATCAGTTGAGGACATGCCTTTCCTTTCTATGCTTCACATCATTCACCTATTTACTATGTCATAGTGAAATTACACCTAAATTTAAACTATTCTCAGGGGTGTGTGTTTGTCCTAGCAATCGAGACACCAGTTAACACAACCATGTAGCATACAGGAGCACTTTTGGGTCTGATTTCCAGTTTTTATGTCTAGTTTTCTGCTAATTTAAACTGTAGGAAGCAACAGTGATAGCTCTATTCACCAGGTTCCTGTCAAGCCCATGGGAGATCTGGAGGGAATTCTTGGCTCCTGTCTTCAGCCCCAACCAGGGGCATTTTAGGGATTTGAGGAGTGAAAGCAGATGGGATTTCTCTCTCTCTCTCTCTCTCTCTCTCTCTCTCTCTCTTTCTCTTTCTCTCTCTCCTTCCCTCCCTATCTCCTTCCCTTACTCCTTCCCTCTCTGCCTCTGCCTCTATCTAGCTCTTTCTTCAAATTAATAAATACATCTTTTTTTATCACTCTCTCTCTTTCTCATAGATAAAAAATCATTTTTGAATTCCAATCTTTTGTCATCTCTCTAATCTTGTGGTTCTGATTGTGTGTGTGTGTGTGTGTGTGTGAACGCACACCTACCCCACATCTGGTGCTTAGCACATCATGCCTTATAGTATCATCTTGATAGGAGATAGTTTTCTCAATTTGCACATTTTGATGAAACAAGCTGCTGTGCTGAAGAGACCCTTGTGGCAAGCAAGTGAGTTTGCCTCAAGTCAAAATTCAGCTAAGAGTTGGAGAGCTGGAGCTTTCAGTTCAATCCATCCATGATGAACTGCAGAGTAAAAACCATGTGAAGCTGGAAGGGGATCCTCCCCAAATGAATCTTCAAATAGGATCTTTTCCTGGCCAATACCTTGTTGACAACCTTGTGAGAGAACCTGAAGTAGAGGTCTTAACTAAGCCATGCCTTACCCCCGGCCCACAGGATTAGGAGACAACAAACTGTTTTAAATTGCTAAAGACTAGCCAAGGGTCATGTAGAAACAGAAAACTGATAACACTGCAGCACGTGGAATGAAGTAAAACAAAAATTAGAAATTTACTTTCAAGGTTGAGCAGAGGAGACAATCCACACATAAGCCAATGTTAATGCACGTTCAAATAGTAAATGCAGCAAATGGAAGAGAAAGGTAAACAGAAACTCAACCTCCCAATCAATAGAAAACTTCTTCTCAATGTAACATTTCCTCATTGCATGGAAATGTCTCCCATTATCTGTAAATAATAGCAAAGACCTTGCTCTACTGAGCAAAGATTCTAGAGACCTTTATGCATAGAAGTTACAATTCAATCATGGGAAATACCAGATAGATAAACTCTCTTCCTGCCCCTACTCTCTCAAATCTTTCTTGCGTATTTTGCCTTCTGTTTGTAATATTACCTCAGGAGACAGATAGAAACATTACATTATAAGAATAGAAACAGGAACACTTTCTGTCCTTCCACTTTAATTCCCTATACACTTCATCAGTAGATGGTGCTTTTTGCTTATAAGAACTGAAACTTAGCTAAAAAATATCTCCTTATGTTAATGGTGCCATGAGCTGTATGTGGGATCTAGTTGGCATTAATTCAGTAAAGGTAGAATACTATATTATAGAGAACCAAACTTGGAAGCCAAAAAAACATTTGAATTTGAATATTGCTCCTATAGAGTGACTTTTTTTATTTGTAAATCTCACTGAATCTGTTTCCTGTCTCCCTTGTGGGTGTCCGGGGATCCAAGTACTTCAGCTACTGTCTGACAGAGTAGAGATGGATAGGCACTCTGATAAAGGATGCATATGTCTCAAGTAGTCGCTTAACCTGATGAGCCACAATGGCCACCTCTTGTCATTTGAAGACAGAAAGAATTATTAACTCCGTGGGAAAACCTCTATTTACCCAGAAAATGTCTCCAGTGTAAGCCATATGAGTACAATAAGAGGACCAGACTTAAGCATTAATGAAGTAGAGTACCTTCTAAGTGATGTCATATCAGGACAGTCTCTTCATTGGACTTTCCCTCAAAACAAAGAATAGGCAAAAATATGTGTACAGGAGTGTTATTTTCAATGAGATCCCTATAAGCAAGAGTAAGGAAACTGAACAAGTAAGAAAGGTAAGATGGAAAAGTTAGAATAAAAAAAAAAGAGGTAGAAAGAGAAGAGGAAGAAAGTGAGGGCAAGTGGGAGAGAGAATATGAATATGAAACTTTCAGGACTTTTGAGAAATATGTAGAATGCCACCTGGAATTTTTCACATAATTAATAGGAGGCTTGACATTTATAATATCTCTGGACCAGAACTGTTGAAGGATTATCCTTGGGAGAGTTAACTGCCTTCAATTCCTGGAATAGTCTAGCATGCTATTAAGGAAGACTGAGACAAAATGAGAAAAAAAATTAAATGCTTCAGTTTGAGGTGGAACACAGACAGAAGTAATGATGAAACCCCCCAGAACTTAAACTGAACTGTAGGTGTGCCAAGACATATGGCACAGGCAGCAAGCTCTCTCTGACAAGTATTGATTACATCTTCCCCTTGAAATTCCTTTTAACATGTTCTTGATATTTTCTTCTTGTGAAAAAATGACTTTTATCCCTAAATCAGATAAGCTACAAAGGTGAATACCTTCTAATGTAGAAAAAGCTCAGATACTTTATCAGATGACTATGGAAATGGCTTGTCTCAGAGATTTCATGAGCAGGTAAGTAATATGGTGATATTTATTTCCTGAAAGGCACAGGGATCAAGAAATGAGAAAATAAGCCACTGTATATATTTTCTCAGTAACCTGCTCAATAATATAATTTTCACTCATTGTCAGTTATTATGGCTAGAGTCATAACTATAACAGCACAAGGACATGTTCATTTTCTAAGTTATCTATTGCTGTGTACAAACTCCACAATTGTTGTAGTGATTGAAAACAGCTACTGTTTTATATCTCAAGAATCTGGGTTGGCAATTCAGACAGGGTACAACTAGAGAAATATTTATGTATCAGGATATAATTTTTATATTCAATGATTGTTATGGACATTAGTGAACTAATGCCAGTTATACATTTAATATACTTGACATACCGTGAAAATTCAAATGAAATGATGGCTATCATGTAGAGAACAAGTCTTCATTTTTGGATTGTTAGTAGTATTAGCCTACTTGAGGTCAACTTTACAGGATATGTGGATAGATCTAAGAGCAATTATTCATCAGCCGAAATATTTTTGAAATATCATAATTTTGTGTGTATATATTCCATATTTAAAGCACAAAAACTGAAGAATGGTGAATATATCTAAATGAGTAAAAATTGTACTCTAAAATGGCAGATAAAGATGGTTTTCTCATAAGTTAGGGCGTTCTTTACCTAGCATATGTATTATGTATGGTCCCATGACAATGAGTATTCCTATCATCGTGTTTAATATATTTATTCTGAAACATTTTTTATTTTGTGAAAGTTACCTGAACTATTATGAGAGATGAATGGTCAGTATCAAGGAGAATTCTTAAATATGTTTGTTTTAAGGTTACAGATAGATAGATCATCAAATACCCTTCTAATGAAGTTAGTGTTCATTCTGAAGATGAAAATGAGCCATCAGAAATTTTTGAAAGAAGAAGAACAACAGATATGACAGATTGCAGAAGGAGCACAAAACTTTGCAGCCTCGTTTAGTGGATATAACGTGTCTTCTTTCGTGCTTAAAATCAGGAGTTGGCCAGGTAACATTTTTGTCACTGCAACAACTGTAAAACTGACACAGCAGTGATATGAGATGCATTTACACATTTGAGTTCTGTCACTTTTGTTGCTCTGGAAATAACACTCCATGTTGAGGAACTTTTAAACCAATATTTTCCCATAAGAGGCAAATCATGGCTCAGCTCATGTTAACAAGACACAGCAGTAGGAGTTAAATAAACAATTATTATTATTATCATTTTGATAGGCAAAGTGGACAGTGAGAGAGAGAGACAGAGAGAAAGGTCTTCTTTTGCTTTTGGTTCACCCTCCAATGGCCACCGTGGCCAGCGCGCTGCGGCCAGCGCACCGCGCTGATCCGATGGCAGGAGCCAGGTGCTTCTCCTGGTCTCCCATGGGGTGCAGGGCCCAAGCACTTGAGCCATCCTCCACTGCACTCCCGGGCCACAGCAGAGAGCTGGCCTGGAAGAGGGGCAATTGGGACAGAATCCGGCGCCCTGACCGGGACTAGAACCTGGGGTGCCGGTGCTGCAAGGCGGAGGATTAGCCTATTGAGCCCCGGCACAGGCCAATAAACAATTATTTTTGAAGTTCTTGTTATGAAGCAAAGACTAATACACTATTATTATTTTTCTCACAAAGAAAGAAAAAATATCCCAAATTAATGAAATGGAATTTCTCGTCTTTTTCTTACACTCCTCATGCATATGTTTCAAGTTAAAAGATGGCTTCTAGCCTTCATCAAACCCTGCTGTCATTCATTAAAAATTTTATAGAAGAATTTATAGAGATCTATAATTGTCTAGAATATTACCTTCAGTTCAAATTATTTTAGGGAGTTGGAAGTTTCCACATCTATGTTTGTGGATGTGTCTTCTGTTAAATGATTGCCCCTCAAGGAAAAATAACCAAGTATGTTTATAATTTCTCCACTTAAGTTTCAGTTATCATAAATAGCCATTGTGTAACTAATACTCTTTTATTTTAAACTAACTTTATGATGAAAATTTCCCAAAATATCTAGTGTGCTTTTTTTTTCTAAATTTGAAGGATATCATCGAGGCCATCGTGGGAAGCCAAATAAATAACATCATACTCTTCACCAAGTTCTGAAAATTTTGAGATATTATACAAAAGAATGAGGCAGATGGCAAATAAAAATATCATGTGTGAAAACAGCTGCTCATAGACAAAATGGTATAACAGACAGTATCTGCTCTCTTGCCTCAGTAAAAAATTTGGATGAAATATGAAATAATTTTGTTTAGTCATTGAATAGTAGGCAGTTAACATGTGATTCCTGGGAATGAAAAATACAAGACAAATCCTACAAATTTAGCAGCATGAAACAATTTTCATTGTTGCAGCACAGACAGGACAAGCTCAAATGTAATTTTGGGGTTTCATTAAGTTGAGGAGGAAGTTCAAAATGAGAAGACTAAAATTTTTAGTAAGAATACAAATAAATTAGAAAGAGAGGAAGAGAAGAATGAAGGGAGGCAGGGAGGGAGGGAGGGAGGAAGGAAGGAAGGAAGGAAGGTGGAAGGAAAAAACGGAAGAATGCATCTAGAGATTCCCAGAGTTCTTCAATAAAGTAACTATTCACAGTCAGGGAAATGGTCAACATAAAACTGTAACAAAGTAGACAAAAAATTCAGAGATATCAAAATGACTATGAAGAGTTTATCTTTCCACCAGATAGAATAAAAAGATATTTTGATATATGAGTCATCAGGTATGATTCCCTGAATTTTATGGCCCTAATATCATGATTAAATTAGCCCTAGGTCAAAGGCTTTCTGGACCAACCACAATATAAATTTAAAAATTCTATAAATATTCAAATGATTCCAAGTAGCTCAACTGCACTCCAACACAAAACATAACAATTGAAAGTGTAAGTTCACAATGTTTTGTATCCAGTCCAAAATTATCAAGCATTCATTAATATAGGAAAATATGACCTATAATCAGCCAAAAATCAAATAATAGAAACAATCCTGGACATGAGAGATGATGAAAGCAGTAGACAAGGACAATTAAAGAACTTTTAAAATATGTTTTGGCGCCCACATTGTGGCATGGTGGGTAAAGCTGCCGTCTGCAATGCTGACATCCCATATGGGCATTGGTTCATGGTCCAGTTTCTCCACTTCCAATCCAATTCCATGCTAATGGCCTGGGAAAAACAGTAGAAGATGGCCCAAGTGTTTGGGCCCCTTCCATCCACATGGGAGAACTGGATGGAGCTCCTGGCTCCTGGCTTCAACATGGCCAGCATTGGCCATTTTGGCCATCTGTGGAGTAAACCAGAAGATGGACTACGTCTCTCTCTCTTTCTGTGTCTTCCTCTCTCTCTCTTACTCTCAAAATAAATACTTAAAACTCTTTTGCATTTGTTAAAGAAAGCAGAAGAAAGTGCAAGAACAAGAACAATTTCGAGAGATACTAAATAGAATTCTAAAGATTAATAATAATGATATCTGAAAGTAAAATATATCATATTTAAAGAAAAGCAGATTTGTAGAATTTCTAGCACTGAATGTTTATATTAGACAAAATATAAGGCTTAGCTCAAGAATCTATAATTTTAGTATCAGTAATAAATAAGCAGAAAAAATGCTATATGATGTCACTCATATGTTGAATCTTTTTCAAATACATTGGAGTTTATTTATATAGTGAGGTCCATAAAAGAACGAAAATAAAAACTACAGTTGGATGCAACAGTATGAATGACTTTCACAAATAAAGTGTTATGCAAAGAAAACAAAACATATGAACATACATGATGTGTGCTTACATTTATGTAAAACTCAGAGCCAAGCAAATAATCCATACTGCTGGACAACAGAATAGTTATAATCTTTGGAAACGAGAACTTCTGTGGTGAATGAGAGGGCCAAAGGAGAAATTTCTGAAATTTTTGTCATGTTATAGGTAATATGTTGAATCTAACAAAGCTAATCTCATACAAGTTTTGAGCAGAATAACAATTATAAGAGGCCAGGGAGAGTCGGGGGCTTGTTATCTGGGTGAAGATTGATCACTGTAAACTAAGTTGTACTTAGATTTGAAAACTACTTCTGGTGTTCTGTTGAACCGTAGAGAGACTATAGATAACAGTGGTGTTATCTATCACATTATCTATAATGATTTTTAAAAGCTAAATGATTTTTAATATCACAAAAATTAATATTTAAGTATATATCTGTATGTATATATATATATATTTATGTTGATTTGACAATTACACAATGTATACAAAGACTTCACATGACACCTCAAAAATATATACTGTGGGTGATCCTGTGAGACTGCCTGCCTGGTGGCAGGCAGCAGGGGCCCTAGTATTCCCAGGCACCTTTTCCCCACTCCTGCCTTCTGTGGAAGAGCCTAGTAATTGCCAATTGGGTAAACTGCTCTCTGGTGTGGCCCAGGCCCATCCGGAAGGCTACTGTAGCCTTGTGATCTTCAAGCTCATTGGAGAAGCATAGCAGCACCAATATGAGCTCTATCCTATAGAATTCTTGTTGTCTTGAATTAGCTTTGCCCCTTCTGCCTACCCTTTAAAAGGTGTGCTTGGTCATTAATAAAGCAAACATGTTCACCAAAACTTGTCTCTGGTGCTTCTTCTCAACGAATGCCATTGCCCCACCATGCCAACGGTGCATGGGCCTCACAGGATGAGCCCACAATATATAACTGTGTTAATTAAAATCAGAAACTAAGAGCAAGTTAACCATAATTTCAAATAAGAATACGATGAATAAAGGCAAAAGAGGAAGTAAATGAAATAGAAAAGCAAATAAAATTAATAACAGTAAAAGCAAATAAAAGTAGGCTCTTCAAGGATTAAAATAGAGAAACTTCTAGACACACTGATGGAAAGAGCAAAAAGAAACACAGATACATGACAGAGGAGAAATTACACAAATGTTAGGAAATGCAGGGACTATAGCAATTTTATGCCAATAAGTGAAACAACAGAGGAAATGAACACACTCTTTGAGAAAAAATAACTATCTAATCTCACTAAAGAAGATACATTGAATGGTTTTTTAACTACTAAATATTAGCATTTTTCAATTATTAATCTTCTAATGAATAAAACCATGGCCAAGATAAGTTTGCTGACTAATTCTACTAAATAGTTAAGAAAGCAAACATTCCAGAAAATAGAAGTGGGATACTTTCCACTTCAATTATATAAAACTATCATTACTCTAATATCAAGATCACTCAAAGACGTTATAATAACAGATAACTATAAATAACCTTTGTAAACATAGATGTCATAATGCATATTAAGATTTTAGCAAATTAAAAATATCAATATACCAAATTAACAAAATATGAAAATTCAGACATAGGCCAGTAATGCAAAGTTGGTTTGATGTTCAAAATGATGAAGCCACGTATCTTATCATCTGTTGCCTCCTCAAGTACACATTAAGAGGATGCTGGAGTGGGAGTTCACAACAGCTAAGAGAAAACACTTTACAACTACCCTAATTAGTACAGAAAAAATATTCACAAAAGCCCATCAGTCATTAATCTAAAGTCTCTCATCAAAATTCTATTTTGAATAAATACTCCAATTTGATGTGGAAATCTATTTTCACCTTTCTATTCAATGTTTTCCTGATTTTCTTAGCCAGTGGAATAAAACAATATAATTAAAAGGCTATAAAAGCTATAAAAATATTTGTATTAATAAGTTACTTAATTGTTTAACAAAAAAATCTGAAGGTATTTATCCAAAAAAGCAATTAAACAGTTAAATGGTGTTGGCAAGATCATAAATGTCAGTAAACAACAATAAACTTTGTTTCTTTAAACTAACCATGGAACTGGAGCTAGTCAAGTAAAAGAAAATAAGTCAGACACAGAAATATATGCTGAAGAATTTATACATATTAAAAAGTCTTACAACAGAAATAAGAGAAATCTATTAAACAGAGAAATTTTAAATAAATATTTTAGCATGAGTATTAATTTTAAATAAATGTGAAAATGTATTCAATATCAATAGTCACTAAAGAATTGAAAGTTATAATGAAAATTAATACCATAAAATTTACAATAAAATTCATAAAACAGAAATACTAATTTTGGTGAATATATAAAGCCTTGTGCATTGTTTGTGGCAATGAAAAATTACACAACCACTTTGGGAAAACCATTTGGCAAATCTAATGAAGTGCTATATAAACTTACCTTAGAACTCAGAAATACCATTTCCATATAACTGCGCAACAGAGATAATGGATACGTTTACACAAAGTATTGTTCTTGGATGTTTATATCAGTTTTATTCACAAATACAAACCATATACACATCTGAAATAGCCATTAACTTGTTTACAAACAAGAAGGAAAGAAATACTGATTAAAAACAACAAGGAGGAGAGCATGTGGCAGAGTGGTTAAGATATCTCTTAAAAAACATCCCATATTAAAGTTGCTGGGTAGGCATTCCACCTCCGGTCCCAATCCAGGATCCTGTAAATGTGCATTTGGGGAGGCAACAGGTGATAATTTAAGTACTCGGGTCCCTGTCCCTGATATGGGAAACACAGACTGAGTTCAGAGCTCCTGGCACTGGCCCAACCCAATCCTTGCTATTGTGGGCATTTGGGGCATAAACCAGCAGATAGAAGATCTCCACCTATCTTGATCTCTGTGCCTTTCCAATAAATGTAAAGCAACAGGGACCTATCTCAAAAGCATTAGGCTAATGAAATATATGAGACACAAAAGGTTGTGTACTATATAATTAGATTTGTGTGAAATTCTATAAATGGAGGAAATATAGGTTAAAAAATGTTAAGAAGTCATTGTCAGGAACCATGTTTATTGATTGCAAAGGGACACAAGGGAAAATATGAGTTAATACAAACATTCTATATTGTTACTGTGTTGGTTAGACAACTATATATATTTTTCAAAATTCATCATATATGTACACATTTAATTTTGATTATTTTTTGGTAAATTTTATTATATAATTTTATTTTAAAATAAATCTGATAAAAATATTGCCTGAACTACTAATATAAACTCTGAATAAGTTTGAAATGTAGTCTCCATGTGAAACCTGGAAGCCAAACAGTCTTCCAGCCAGGCCTAGGAGATGCTATAGTAATGTAGCTAGTGAAAGCTTTGTCCACTGTGGTACTTTCACCAGGTTAAAAAATGACTGCTGTGATGTGCCACCAGCTCATGGAAGAAGAAAAAAAGGTAAATCTGTGTTCAGCTGAGATTCTTTTTCTATCCCATTTCATCAGTCAGATAATCCAGCCCACTGCCCAGAGACATAATGATTAGGTGACTTGGAGAGGTATAGAGGGCAAAACTGGTAAAAATTTACCCATGCAGATGGAAATGATCAGGATAAGGAAAGGAGCATCCCCTAGGACATATTCAATTTAGCAAATCAATAACTCATGTTTATTTGCTTTTTCTCTCCTTTTACAGCCTATTTTCCACT